TAAAAGAACACTACACACCCAGATACTCACTGTGCCTACCCACGTGCGTGTTCAGTCGCTCATTCATGTCCAGCCTCATAGCCTGCAGCCCGCCAGGCTCCTCTGTCCATGGGATTTTCCAGGCTAGAATACTGGAGCAGATTGCCATTTCCTTCTCCAGAGGATCTTCCCGACCTCGGGATCGAACCCCTGTCTCTTGCGTCTCTCCTGCATTGGCAGGCGAATTCTTAACCACTGCGCCACCTGGGAAGCCTAAGTACCCACCACCCAGCTTAAAATACAAATATAACAACAACAGCAACAAAATACAAATATGGCCTGTTTGTGTGAGTCCCCGTCTCTCCCCACTGTCACAGCCCTCTCACTCCCTCCGTTAATCACTACCCTGATCTTTTCCTTTAAGTTTTCCTCAATACGTGTGTATCTCTAAATACATCTAACATGTATATTATACCTATAATAATATATACAATAAATTATAGATTTTTATGTTCAAAAAGCATGTTTATATATGTAGGAGGACTGACAGTTGTAGTCTCCAAATTATGGGTGACTGAATTTCCTTCTTGTCCTTTTCTGCATTTTCCAAGCTTAGAGAATGAACATATATTACTTCTGCCTTCAGAGAACAATGAAATACATGCCTGCAGATACCTCGGTGGTCTCCTTGTGAAACAGGAAGCTTGTTTGCAAGGCAAATAAATAGCTTTTCTGCACTTATGGCAGTCTATGACTAACCGTAAAAAAAAAAAAAAAACTGGTTTGGATTTGTTGAATGTGGCAGAGAAGCAAGTATTGCTTAAATGAATCTCAAAAGCAACGTGCACAGAGTGGCCAACTAGGTGACCTGCGATGAAGCAGGGCCCTTAAAAATCCTGTTCCAGAGATGAGCTCCCCGCCCCCACTGCACTGCACTGCTCTGGGCTCAGCTCCAGGGAGCATCTGGAAGCTGCTGTTCTTCCTGCGATGTGTTAGCTGATGTCCTGGGTGGTCTGCAGCTTGATTACAGTGACTGGCCTCTTCTATTATTAAGGATACAGGCAGTCCTGTATTTTCACTTCTTTGCTGCTGTCAGGGACACTCACTCTCTCCGGGTGAAGGGTTGTGTGGGGCGATGGGCTGGAAGGCTACACTGGGCCCCCTACGCTGTCCTGCCTCTCCCCTGAGGTGACTTTGGCCACACCACCTCGGAACCCCAGCTTCCTTCTCTTCAACGTGTCGATGGGGGTCGAGAAGAACATGTACCCGTACATGCTTCTGTTTCTTACACTTTTCCTTTGCTTTTTTCTTCTTCCCCAGAGTGACAATGGGCTCGAGGTCACTGGGTCAAACTGCCTGGACCCTCATCCTGGAGCCGGTGACCCTTGGCAGGCTCCCCGAGCTCTCAATGCCTCCACTTTTCCATCTGTGAAATGGACATTAAAAAAAAATAAACCTGACGCAGAAGACCATGGGGAGAGCTCACCCAGGGCAGCACCAGCACACAGCAAGCTCTCGGTAAACATTGCCCTTTTCTCTCTTCTATTGTTTTGGAAGGTATACATTCTTTCTCTAGTATTTTAGCTCTTACATTTTTAACATGGATACTTAACCTAATAAGCCTGAAGTTCATCAGCATCTCCAGGACCCGGAAAGGTTACCCTGAATCATCAAGTTGTAGGATGTTTAACACACCTCACACATCCTCATATGCCTCCCTTACTTTTCATGATGTAGAGTAGTTTAGTTTCACGTTGTTTTTAGAAATCTTTAATGTTAGTCCTTTGTTATGACATTAAATGCTTACTCGGTAGTGAAGAGACTTTGGGGTTTTCTCGGGGGAGGGGGGAGGCTTCCCCCGCATTGGCAGCTGCCCTGCAGGCCTCAAGATCCCTGATCTCACTGCTCTTCACCCCCCAACTCTACACGCATGCCCACCCGCACATGCGCACACAAAAATGACTGCAAACACACAGGCATGCAGACACACACCTGCCATCACACACTTGCACACACAGACACATGTACATGCCCATGGACACACAGGTGTGTGTCTGCATACACTCCTGTGCGCACAAACACTCACACACGCCTCTGAGCCCCGGGGCCCATGAAGCACCACCTCTCCCGATCTACCCCACCAACCCCTCCCCTCCATCAGCACCTGCCCACCCCAGGGCCCCCTTCCTCAGCATCCTGCCATCTCCTGGGACGAATCCACGGGCGAATCTTATGGGTGACAGCCCTGAATCACTGTGTCAGAATCACCTCGGGAGGTCGGATTAGAAGAGAAGAAGGAGAAATAGCAATGAAATGCAGTGAGTTCTGGGTCAGATCCTGGAACAGAAAGACAATATTAAATGGGGGGCTGCAAATAGAGTCTGTCGTTCAGCAGTTGGTCCTGCAGCCACGTTAATTACCAAGTTTCATCACTGTGTTCCAGTTAGGGAAGATGGCAACTAGAGGGGGAACTGAGTGAGGGGTGTACGGGGACTCTCCTATTTTTGCAGCTTTTTCTGAAGTTTCAAATTACTTCCTTAAGTTTCAAATTAACTAAAAAAAAATCTTGAGAGTTTAACAAATACATATTCTGAGGCCCACTGAAGGTCTGTGGACTCAGGAGCCCTGGGGGTGGGCTGTAGCTAGATGAATATATTAGACCGCATCTTGCAAGAGCCATATTCTGAAGTGTTAGGACTTCCACAGATGCATTTGGGGAGATGGGATACAATAAAGCGCTTGGCGATCAGATCTCTCCAGTCCCTCCGGCAGGTCCCCCAGGCACACGGGTCCCGCTCTGGGCACAGTTCCGGGGGGGAGGGCAGCACCCCCAGAACCACACAGGCAGTGCAGGGGGCGGCCACACCAGACCCACCTCCACTCCTCGGCCCCCACTACCCTGGAAAGGGTTAATACTGGCCGGCAGATCCATCGGTAGGCCAGCCTCGCTCTGGGAGCCTAGGAAGGGCCATGAGGCATGTGGGGGGGGGTGGGGGCGGGGCTGGGAGCCTCTCTCTCCAGGAAGCTGTGCATGGACCTAGCATCCAGGGCACACGTCTGTTCACAAGGGCCGCGAAGCACTGGTGCTTGCCCACGAGGCCAGCAAGCACTGCGTGCTCAAGGCTGGCCCTGGCCAGGAGAACGTTCTGCGACGACGGAAATGCTCTGTATCTGTGCTGCCCAATACTGCGGCTGCTGAGGACTTCAGTATGGTTAATTTGACTGCATTTTGACATTGATTTTAATATAAAGAGCTGCATGTGGCCCGCGGCTGGTGCCCGACACTGTAGCCCCAGCCCCCTGGCTCCTCCGTCCCATCTCGTGCTGAGTACAAACCACAGCCCTGCGTCTCCACTGTGGCACGTGGGCCTTCTCTCGTTGCAGTGATCGGGGGCCACTCTGTGTGTGAACGGGCTCCTCGTGGTGGTGGCTGCTCCTGCCGTGGCTTGCAGGCTCTAGGCAGCGTGGGCGTGAGGAATTGTGGCACACAGGCTTAGCTGTCCCTTGGCACGTGAGGTTTTTTCCGATCAGAGATTGAACCAGTGTACCCTGCATGGCAAGGCAGGTTCTTAACCACCAAATCTCCAGGGAGGCCCAGAGCCTAGCATTTTAACCTCAGCTTTCAACATCCAGACCCAGTGACCTGGACCAGGTGGGTCATGGGACCTTTGGGTGGGGGCAGAGACTTGTGGGCACTCACTGAAATCCACCTCCCTCCCCAACCATCAGGATGGATGGAGACAAGGAGCCTTCCCTGAGGAGCCATCCAAAGCACAACAGGCCATCGGCTTTGCTGACTGAGGCTCCGGGATCCAAAGGTCCAGGAACACCATCCTCCCCTTCTCGGGCTACAGCGCTGGGTCCCTGCTGCTCTGAAACCAGACTGGAATTTACAGCCAAGTGCAGCTGCTCCAGAGAGGGCAGCCCAGGGCTGCATCAATAATGGATGAGCTGCCCTGCCCGCTCTGAGAGGCCTCTCCCCACTCCAGGATCCTGGAACCCTGAGGGAGGGGCCCCCTCCTTCTCAGCCAGGGCAGAGCTGAGGGGGCTCATGGGGGAGGCTTTGTCCCAGCTCTGGCACAGGCCTCAGTTTTCCAGGGGTGGCCAGCAGAAGGGCCTCCCCTACCTCCCCATCGGCTGCATCAGGGATGTGAGATTCGAGAGCCCCATGACTGGTCCCGATGATGATGGCTTCCTGCCCCCTGGAACGTGCAGGCCAGTCAGAGCCATCCAAATCCCTTATGGGGGCAGCAGAGAATCCAGGAATGCAGGATTGGTGGGGGGTAGGGGGTGGGGTCCAGGCCAGGAGCCAGGAGGGAGAGACTGTCCCCAGGCTGGAGTCCTTGGCGGGAGCTGGGACTCACCACTCCACCACTCACCTTTACTAGGAGTGGTGGTGGAGGAGGCTTGTACCATCTTCGGTTAGAGAGCCTGTGGTCCAGAGAGGACAGTCTGAGAAGCACCAGAGCAGCCCTGAGATTAGAGGACCCCAGACCCAGGAAGCACCCACCCGGGGGTAGGAGTGAGGCAGGGCAGGCCTTTTGTTCCCTCAAAATTCCCGCATGGAAGCCCTAGCCCCCCGTGTGCCTCTGTTTGGAGACAGGGCCTTTAGGGAGGTGACTAGGGTGAAGTGAAGCCACAGGGTGAGTCCCTGCCCCGATAGGAATGGCATCTTTATGTTACGGAGTCCAAGCACATACTGCTCGCCCACACGACAGGCCAGTAGATGGAGAGATGAGTGGCTGAGGCAAGGATAGCGACTTTATTCAGAAGACCAGCAGACTGAGAAGATGACGGACTCGTGTCCAAAAGAACCATCTCATTCAAGTTAGGACTCACGCTTCTTTTATACTAAAAGGAGAAGGGGTGTGACTGGTCGTTGCAAAGTTCTTGGTGTTGGAATTTTTGTTCTTACAGCTGTCCATGTAGGTCAGGTCACAATGTCTTATAAACCTCCAACGAGACAAATGTTATTTTCTGTTCTGCAACTGTAACAAAAACTTATCTGGCTGCCTTGGGTCTTAGTTGCAGCACATGGGATCCTTCAGTCAGAGCACTCAGGCTTAGCTGCATCATGGCATGTGGGATCTTAGTTCCCTGAACCCACATCCGCTGTATCGGAGGGCAGATTCTCAACCACTGGACCACAGGGAAATCCCATCTGTTCTTCATCTTTTTATCTCTGTATGAATGGGAAAGTGTTCTAGCTTTAAAGGTCAGAGTCTTGAGGGTGGACTATCCTGTGTATTTCAGGCCATAGGCAGCATTCTCAGCTTGTTGCAAAAGGTTAAAGTAAAAGAAACAGATCCGATATGGAATCTGATTTGTTCTTCCCTGTTACACACTTATAGGGTTTTCCTGGTGACTCAGTAGGTAAAGAATCTGCCCGCAGTGCAGGAGATACAAGTTCAATCCCTGGGCCGGGAAGATGCCCTGGAGGAGGGCATGGCAGCCCACTCCAGCATTCTTGCCTGGAGAATCCCCATGGACAGAGGAGCCTGGCGGGCTACAGTCCATAGGGCCACACAGAGTCAGACATGACTGAAGCGACTTAGCACGCATGCACGTTACAATTATAAATAATCTCTCTCTCAGCACAGAGAACAGGCCGTGTGAGGACACAGTGAGAAGGCTGCTGTCTGCAAGCCAGAAAGAGAGGCCTCAACAGGAACCCACCCTTCAGACAACATGATCTCAGACTGCCACACTCCAGAGCGGTGAGTGAATGCATTCCTGCCGTTTCCACCTCGTCTGTGGTGTCTGTTGTCAAGCCAGTGCCTTTTGTGGGTGATGGAGGTCGACCTGCTGGAGAGTTCTGAGAGGCAGTGGGGCTCGGGTGTGGAACCTCCCACTCCTGCGGTCGCCGGGTAAGGGTGACTCTCAGGAGGCAACAGTGCCCTAGCTGTGGACAGCTTTGGGGAAAGCTTCCAGGCAAGGAGGTGCAGATGCTGGCAGCTGGCTCTCAGGCCGGAGTCCATCGAGAAGTACATCCCGGGGGGTCTGGGCAGACTGTAGGAAAATATGCCACTGGCGGCCTCGTGGACTTGGGAGTCAGGAGAGAATCTTGCCGTACCAACGGCCTGGCTGAGAGAGTCTGCGAGGGGGCTGAGCAGGGTTACTGGGTGGCAGATGCATAGCACCTGCCAATTCCTATGATGTATGTGCTTCCACCAAGGACTATTAGAAGCTGTCAAAAGCCTGGGGCAAACCGTCATCCGAGTTTTCTTAGATTCTGTGTGTGTCTGTTTGACATCTGTTAATCGTGGGGCCAGATTCACAGTCAGATTGTTTACAACTTGGTCTAGTTTTTGTATGCTCACAACTTTTCTAACAATCCCAAGTCCAGACCCCCAACCTTTATCTAACTCTGACTCACCAAGCCAATACTTTATCTGCCTTAAATCACCAGACCACCTGGTAGCTCAGACCCTAGAATGCCACCCTTATTCCAACCAGCCAGTCCTGGGCTGTTTCCTCGCCCTGCCTCTCCCCTCCACCCGCTCCCCGACCCCAGGATGGCAAATAAAGGACTCGGTCTGTGCTGTCCCCTGGCTCTCCCCCTCCCGGCCCTGTGCCCGTTTCCAGGGGAACCGCGACTAACAGTAAAGTTCCTTCAACGGCATTCTCCTGTCCCCGTGGTCACTCAGTCAGCTTTACAATTGAAGAGCTGGACACAAGTCACAGACCCGAGAGAAGGAGGGGCCCCAGAAGCCAAGAAAGAAAAGAAAAGGCTGTTCAGAAAGGTCACGGCCACGCGCGCTGGACGCTGCCAGGAGCCCAGCGAGGTGACCAGCGGCGCCCGTTCCTTCTGGACACCCAGAGCTCAGAGGTGACTCTGTCATGAGCGATCTCACGGGGCAGCCGACGGCGGCCGTGGAGAGGGAGGGATACAGCGAGGAAAGCAAGCTGATTGACAGTCTGTGCTCTGACCCGGAGCCCAGAGACGGGGCAGAGCTGGAAGGAGAAGGGAGGTCAGGGCAGGCTTGTGTAAACTGGGAGCCACTCGGGCGCCTGTGCAGGCCAGCAGGAAGGGCCTGCGGCGGGGTGGGGGGCGGCGGGGGCGCGGTGAGCTTGCAGGTGCCCCTTCCACGTCTTCCCACACGGGCCGAGCCTGCGATCCCCTGAAGACCATGAATAAATGATTAAAGACCCACATCGATCCATGGAGCTGAGGCCCATTTTATTTGGTTGCTCTGAATGGATATTAAGAAGGCATCCCCTGGACCCTAGTGAAAAAATAGCAGCCGCCTTGCGCCCGTGAAACTTTTGACCCCCCTCTCCCTGTGTTTTTCTCGCTGTTGTGTCTCTTCTCCCTGTGCCTGTGGCCTGTGTGGAGAGGGGTGTGGGGGGGGCGTGTGTGCCCCGCTGTGCTCTTCTTGGGGGGGGGGGGCAGGAGTTGGTGGGGGGAGGGCAGAGGGACCGTCTGTAACAGCCAGAGATCCTTTGTCTCGAGAAAATTCAGGTGCTTTTGACAAGAGGCTTTTTCTTTTTTTCCTGGAGCATGTCTTCAAGGTTTCTTTCCAAAAGACCGAGGCACGTCTGAGGCATTCTCTTTCCCTCAGCCCTACAAGGCCGTAAATTTCCCTCTCTCTGCTCCTCTCCTCTGTGAATTACAGCAGCTTCTCAGCCATTTATTATTCATCATTATTACAGTGACACATCCAGCCATCTAATTCATTGTCTCCCAGCGCTGACTTCATCTCCTTCCTTAAACGCCCACCCGGCTGGAATTTCTTCCGACAAACTCGCGGCCCCACTCCGGCATTATCTTCCCCCAAATAGGCATGATTGTTTCAGAACTTTATCGGTGATCTCATAAAACAGCCCTTCAGAAATTATCAGAGCCTCGATGGATCCCCGATCACTTAGCACTTAAGGAGGACCAACGAGGACTCGGTGTAACTGCCTGTTCTTGCCGTACCGCTGAGGAGATTCAAGGCGCCGCCTCCGCAGTCCCACGGGGACCGGGGGAGCCATTGAACACGTGCCCAGCCTTCTGAGTGACCCCACTCACTGCCGAGTCCCTGGGCTGTCTGGGAGCGTGGAGGATGAAGCCTGCATCCTGGATTCCACGGGCGGGCTGGGCAGGGCTGTGTGTTCTCCGATCCTCTCATCATTGGTTCCCACCCACGTGATGCCTCCTACTCAACACCCAAAAGGACCCCTTCTGTGGACCCCAAACTTCACCCCCTTTAAAGTCTGCCTGCCCTACTCTGTTCCTGTCAGGCACCTGCCTCTGCTCCCTGATCTAAACACTGTCCTGTCGAACATTCAGCGGGGACGGAGGGTGATACTCTCTCTGCACCGTCCAGTATGGCAGCCACTGGCCCCGAGGGGCTCCTGAGCACTGGCCATGTGGCTCCTGCAATCAAGAACTGCATTTGTTTTTAATCTTATTTAATTTTAAGGTAACGTTAAAGAGCCACAAGTGGGCAGGGATGACCAGTTGGAGAGGCAGATCTGGGGGCGGGGGTGGGGGGGTTGGGCTTTTCTACTCATCCAGCGTATCCCCTTCCCGGAAAACAGTCCTGTTAACGCTCGCCAAGTTCCTGCCACATGTGCGAGTTGTGCTGGGCATGTTCTACGTGTTGTCTCACTTCAGTGTCATGACAGGTGAGGTAAGGACCATCACTGTCCATCCCATTTTACAGACTCTAAGACGGAAGCACAGGGAAGGTAAATCAAGTGGCTAAGAAGGGATTCGGAGGTTGGCAGTCCAGGAGAGAGTCTCGGGGGCCATGGGCAGGCTCTCCCCACCGCACGGGGCCTGTGTGATAGGCTGGGCTCCCGGGCCATCCCGTCTCGCTGCGTCTCCTGAGGAAGGTGTCGCCGAGCTGTCCAGTGTCCGTCCTCCACACCTCGGGGTGGTTAGGGTCACTGCTGCCGGCCCTCCCTCTGGGTAACTGAAGCCAGCCACCCCCTCCCCCAGGACAGCACAGTCAGCCTCAGCTGGAGGTCCTGCCTCATGCTTTCTCATCTGAGCCTCGAACAAGAAGAGATGTTGCCTCGGAAGGGATTTAGGTTAGACATGAAAGCTGCTTTCCCGAGCGCTAGAATGAGCTCCAAGACAGACTGCAGAAGTGCCATCTCCGAAGAATCTCAAAAGCAAGTCTGGGATCATTAGGACATGGCTCTGTCCAGAGGCAAGGGCAGTGGCCCCTTGGCGCCCATAACTTTTCCTGTGGAAATTGTTATCCTTCATTAAAATCACTTTGTGCATTACTTGGGGGAAAGGCAGTATAACACTTAGCAAGTTTTAAAGAAATCAATCCAGGACTAATAGGGTGCCTTCTCTTATAGACTGCTCCTCCCAGGATTCCCCTCTTCTTTGCTGAACCTCGGTTTCCAGTTTTCTTCTCAGGAGCATCTGTTCCTTCCTCCCCATACTACCTTTGTCTTCCCCAAGCTGGTACCAGCCTCTCTGAGGCTTACAGGAAGAAGGCTTTCCAGCAAATGGAACTGTTTGGACGAACCTAATGGTCTGTCCTTCCTGCATCAGCCAGAATGTTCTTTTCCCGGGTCCTGGGCTCCCCTCCCTCCCATTCCTGATCAGCTGCTCCATCACTAAACAGAAGAAAACTTCCATCACCTTCATCTCTTCCAACTTACTGAGGGGACTCAGGGTGTCCCTAGGTAACCCAGTGCTCAGCTCACTCTTTGCCCAGCCCAGGAGGTACCCGGTCACCTGTACACCAGTCTAGATCTTTCTTTTTCTTACCAGCTCCTTTCCCTCTTTGTTGTTTAACCACTGCTTCTTTTTTCAAAATTTTAAAAAACTTTTTATTAAAGTATAATAATCATACAGGACTCTGGTAACCAGTGCCTAGGTCATGGAATAGAACATCTCCAGTGCCCCCGAAAAGTTCCTTGCATTTTCCCTCCTGCTCCCTAGTCATCCGAGGACCCCAGGGGCGTTTCTGACTTCTGAATAGTTTCGGGTCTTGCACTTCATCTGAGTGGAGTCAGACATATGTACTCTTTTGTGTCTGGCTTCTTCCCCCAGCATTACATTTGCGAGATTTACCCATGTTCCTCGTGTGCTCATAGATTACTCGTATTGCCATACAGTATTTCCTTGTGTGAATGTACCAGTTTTCCATTCTGCTGCTGCTGGACAAGTGGGTAGTTTCCAGTTTGAGGCTTTTATGAAAAGCGCTTCTGGGAACACTAAAATGCATGTCTTTTGGTGGACATCAGGACACTTTTGCATACCTACCTAAATGACCGCCACTTTTATTCCTCTAAGATCAGGTTGTCGTAGCTTCTTCCTTGATCTTGCCAACTGGATGAAAAACAGAGATCCATCACTTGTGGCCAGATCACACAGATTCCCACTCTATACAGATGTACCAAGTGTAAGCTCTGTGTTCCTCTAGAAATATCGTCTATAAACTCATCTGAACTTCCTCCCAGGCCCGCCTGTTGCTGGAGAAAGGGGAGGGGAGAGAAGAAAACAAAATTTAGTCCAATTCAGCAAACACAGCATCCTTCCGTAATCTAAATAGTCTCTTTAATCTCTTCAGGGTTTCCCTGCCCACCAGTCCTCCAGAAGCACCCCCCGGTCCTTCCAGATGGCTAATGTGAACAGCAGGTGGTTTCATGACCTGGTAGCACTAGCGGGAAGGGGCCCTGGCCTCCATCTCATCCTCGGATGAAGATCAGCTGGTCTTCTAGAAACTGGCTACAGAATTCTCAGGGCTCAGAGCCAAAGGAAAATTTTGTTTTGTTCAAAAATTGCTAAGAGTGTGAAGACGGTGGCAGCAGAGCTTTAAACGAAGCGCGTGCCCTTCTGAGCGCAGGCCCGGCGGCCGGCCCAGGCCACACGCCCCACGCCCCCGGAGGGACCTGCCTCTTGCTAGAGTCTGCCGCTGGGTGAAGGGTGGCGGAGGTCTGTTCTGCTGGAGTCTGGTCAGAACCGCATCTGACCCTGACCGTTCTCGCCGCTGGGAGGGGTGCTGTACCCCGCCCCCCACCACGCCCACCTATCCCTGCCCACAGGCCCCAACCACAGGTCAAACCAGAAGGCCAGCTTTCTCATCCCTCTCCAGAGGGTGTGTTTCTGGTCCCACCCACGTCATGTGGAAACAGGGGCACTTGGAGGAGGGGGACTCAAGGCTTCCCTCTTCCTACCAGCTGGGGCAGGGCAATCCGACAGGCCACTCTCCCACCCCAGGTCCTGAAAAGAAATGGAAACAGAAGCGTCTGTGTAATGCCCTACCGTGTGCACTTCAGGCCCAGGGAGAGGCGTGTGTGACACAGCTCAGCTCCCTGTGCGCGCGTCCCTCCTCCCGCACCAGACACGGAGCTGGGAGGGGCAGGCTTCCCGGATTCAGGCCACCGGGCCTGCTTCCTGATCTGCAGAAAGGGGAGCTGCAGTAACTTCCAGAACGCTTACCTCTCTCAACCTGATCTGTATCTCACTGCAGACTTGAGAATCCTATTTCCCACATCAAAAGCTGATACGAACTGTCTTCCTGCTTGCAGGGCTGCTGTGATCAGGCGCCTCCCGAGAGACTGAAATGGCTTTGTGTTCGCATCCCAGGAGTCCAGAACGGTCAGCAGACCAATCTCACCAAGTCAAGGGCCAGAAGGAGAAAGGGCATGGCTCCGTGGCCCACACACGGCATGCAGACCGCCCTGCCCATGTGGGGTCCCTGCATTGGAGGTGAAGGATGGGAGATGCAGCAGCTTGCCCTTTTCAGGTCGAATCTGGGAGAGGAACAGGTGTGAATTTAGCCAAGGTGAGTAGAGATGAGCAGGTGCAAGAAAAGGAAGGACCGTCACAGGGTGAGGTGTGGGCAGACGCCCACCCTGTCTTAAAGAGGCAGTCACCGGCTCTAGCTCACTTCTGTTGCATGGGGAGTGCCCACCCATTAATGTTTTTATGGATTTTGTATGTTTTTAACGATGACAAGTTATTCCAAATCCACCTGCCGGTCTGGGAGGACCCCGCACGCTGCGCTGCAACCACCGAGCCCGTGCTCCAGAGCCGGGGAGCCGCAGCTGCTGCAGCGGGCGCACCGAGAGCAAGGGAAGCCTCTGCCACGGGGAGCCCGGACACTGCAGCTGGACGGGAGCCCCCACTTGCTGCAACTACGGAAGAAGCCGGAGCAGCCAGACCCAGCACAGCCAAAATAAATCAATTAGTATGTTAAAAGGTAAAAAAACGGAAGACTGGATTCTGGGAATTGGGGCATGGGCTGAGCCAGCAGGGCAGGCCTTGCAGGATTATAGCTGTATTCTGGGAGAGGTGTGTTTTCACAACTGGGAAACCATGACTTGGTCTTAAACAAGGCAAGTGCACCTTCAGTTTTGCATCTTGAAGAGACCTGGCAGATTGACACATAGAGCCTGGGTTGAAAGGAGAAAGAATCCTAGAGAAGGCCAGTTAGGAGGAGAGAGCTGATAAGGCAGGAGCAGTAGCAAGAAGAGAGTTAGAAGGTAACATTGAAGGGACTTAGACAATCATTAAATAAGCCAGAGGTTTATTCCCTGGTAGAGGCCAAAACTATACATTAACATCAATGCCAGAATTGACAGGGATGTGGATCAATGGGAACTCTCCTTCATGGCCAGTGGGAATGTACAATGTGCACCCACCTTAGAGAACAGTCTGACCGTTTCCTTAGGAAGTTAAGGATATACCTGCCATATAACCCAGTCTTAGGTGTTTACCCAAAAGAAATGAAATCATATCCACACAAAGACTCATACGCCTGTCCATAGCAGCTTTATTGAAACTAGCCAAAAGCTGGAAACAATCAAAATGTCTATCAATGGGTGAATGGATAAAGAAATAGTGGTATATCCATTCAATGGAATACTACTCAGCAAGAAAAAAGGAACAGGCTATTGATACAGAACAGTGTGAATGAGTCTCAAAGCACTAAACTAAGGGGGAAAAAATTCATACCGTATAACCTTATATAAAATTCTTTAAAAAATGCAAAGTAATCAAAAGATTGATAAGTGATTGCCTGGAGGTAGGAAGGGGGAGGATGAGTTACAGAAGAGCAGGAGGAAAACTTGAGGGGAGCATGACAGAAATTTTTATCTTTTTATTTTTAAAGATTTTTTTATGTGGACAATTATTTTGAGCCTTTATTGAGTTTGTTGCGATATTGCTTCTGTTTTATATTTTTGGGATTTTGGCCATAAGACATGTAGGATCTTAGCTCCCCAACCAGGGAGCAAACCTGAGCACCCTGCATTGGAAGGTGAAGTCTTAACCATCAGACCACCAGGGAAGTCCCCCTGGAAATTTTTATCTTGATGGAGATATATATATCTATGTCAAAACAGATCAAAATGTACACTTTAATTATGTAGGCTTTTGCATACTTGTGGCTCAGCTGGTAAAGAATTTGCCTGCAATGTGGGAGACCTGGGTCAAGGGCAGCCAAAAACAAAATTAAGAAAAAGAACCATTCCTAGAAGGAGAGCCCCACCTCCACACTGGCTCTGCATTTCCATATCTGTTAACCCAACTCTAATTTTAGATAGAGAAAAAAAGGTGGGGGGACAAAAAAGACACCAAAGTGAGACATCGCTTTACAAGGTGTTGAAAATACATTAAACACTGAGATGTTACCATAATAAATGAATAATTTCAGGTCTGTCTTGTCACAGATTTGAAAATATTTAAAATTAGCAAGTGCAAAGAAAACTAACATGGAGCCAGTAATCTTAATGAACATATCCTATTAGGTTCTAATGAGTGACTTTTTTAAATTGGATTTTATTTTGGTAACAGAAAGTTTTATTTCCAAGTCTTCTTAGAGGAGCTTTCACATTGCATATTTTTTTAAAGTACAGTTTCAAGAGAACAAGTTAGTTTTAAACGTTTATGTGATGATGGGGCCGTCCATACTGGGGTAAATTGCTTTCTATACTTCAGTTTTTATACTGTTCTTTAGGAATTCTGGGATATGTTGTTCTTTGTTCTCTTTCTCTTGGGTGTTTTTTCTTAGCTGCAGTGCAGAGTCCAGGAATGACAGGTGACTGGTCTTCCAATCTGAAGCCAGGCGTTTGTCAAGCTCTTGCTGGTTCTCCTTTTCCTGGCTTTTCTGCAGCAGGAAACAGGAGGTGGTGCCTGCTCGCGGGTCCCCACTGCTTCCCCCGGCTCACCAGTGCACATGAGTCCTCTCGCTGCCTCGGACGTGCACTCATCTTCTCCTGTGAGAACTCCAAAATTACAACTGGCTGCTGAACAGCCATCGACAGGAGAATGTTGGACCCACCAAAAAAAGATGCCCCATGTCCAAGGACAAAGGAGAAGCCACAGCCAGACAAGTAGGTGGGGCGAAGTCACGTTTAGAATCGAACCCCACGCCTGCCGTAGACACTTGGCGCGTTCAAACAAACCTTGGGCACACCAGGAGTCAGTACAGAGACGGAGCCAGACCTGTCTTTGAGCATCTGAGCGTCTCCTGCAGAGGTGCAGGTCAGCAGTGGCCCGCCACAGGGGCAGGGGCTCTGGGTGCAGCAGACCTGGGTATGGCATAGGCCCTCGTGGAGGAGGTCGCCATCAACCCCGCCACAGAGCCGCCAGAACTTACACAGGACGGGGAGACAGACTCGTGGAGGGCATCAGCAAAACCTTGTGCACACCAGGACCCAGGAGAGAGGAGCAGCGACCCCACAAGAGACTGACCCGGACTCGCCTGTGAGTTTCCAGGAGTCTCTGGCGGAGGCGTGGGCTGCAGGATCAGGGACCCTGAGTGTGGCAGTGCGCGCACAGGACCTTTTGAAGGAGGTTGCCATTATCTTCATTACTTCCACCATTGTTTGGTCTCAGGTCAAAAAACAGGGAGGGAACACAACCTGGCCCATCAACAGAAAATTGGATTAAAGATTTATTGAGCATGGCCCCACGCATCAAAACAAGACCCAGCTTCCCCCCTAGTCAGTCTCTTCCATCAGGAAGCTTCCATAAGCACCTTATCCTTATCTATCAAAAGGCAGACATAATGAAAACCACAGCTACAGAAAACTAATCAAACTGACTACAAGGACCAAACCTAGTCTAACTCAATGAAACTATGAGCCATGCCGTGTGGGGCCACCCAAAATGGACAGTTCATGGTGGAGACTTCTAACAAAATGTGGTCCACTGGAGAAGGGAATGGCAAACCACTTCAGTATTCTTGCCTTGAGAACCCTATGAACAGTTTGAAAAGGCAAAAAGATATGACACTGAAAGATGAACTCCCCAGGTCAGTAGGTGCCCAATATGCTACTGGAGAAGAGTGGAGAAATAACTCCAGAAAGAATGAAGAGATGGAGCCAAAGCAAAACGCCCAGCTGTGGACGTGGCTGGTGACGGAGGTAAAGTCCGTGCTGTAAAGAGCAATGCTGCACAGGAACCTGGAGTGTTAGGTCCATGAATTGCAAAGTGGAAGTGGTCAAACAGGAGATGGCAAGCATGAACATCGACATTTTAGGACTCAGTGAACTAAAGTGGATTAGAATGGGCGAATTTAACTCAGATGACCATTTTACCTACTACTGTGGGCAAGAATCCCTTAGAAGAAATGGAGTAGCCCTCACAGTCAACAAAAGAGTCCGAAATGCAGTTCTTGGGTACAATCTCAAAAATGACAGAATGATCTCTGTTCATTTCCAAGGCAAACCTTTCAATATTACAGTAATCCAAGTTTATGCCC